AAGTTCATTAAGAAAAAAAAAAAAAATAAAAAAAAAAAACACTTAGTTTATATAATTTAACATAGAATTTTCAATTTGATCTATCGTAATAGCCATAAACTTGGCTTCGTTCAAGAATTATCATCCAGAGGTTCTCTAGAAATTTGCATTGAGAAGCAATCGTAATCTGGCTCGTAAACGTTAAGAAGGTGAAGAAATTATGAAACGCGAATGTGAGAAACGGCCTACAGGTGGCTAGTTACAAGCTTCTACGGAATTATGGAAATCCGTTTTTCAACTCGAGTTACATAGTCTACTTTTATCCCATGACGCCTACATGTCTCGTTCCGATCATTTCTTTCTCTTTTAAACGTAACAACCAGCTGTGCATTCATTCTTTATATCTAAAGTTATTTAAAAGTTTGAATCTATGGGCAACAAATATATTCCATTCTGCTAACTTTGAGAGTATAAATTCAGTTCAGTCAGTAGAGCATATGGAGAGAAAAATTGAAAAAATTGAAATATGAAACACATTATAAATATATCTTCATTTATTCCGATGAAATAAAAAGATGGTTAAATGATTTACAACGATTTAAGAATCATAAGTGTAAATCACGTCCAAGACATTTTGAAAAATTTATATTTATGAGTTGGTATTTAAAAAAAAATATTCCCCGACTTTACAACAGAATTATGTTGATTTCAATTTTTTACATTGAAATAAATCATAAGCAGGTAACTTAAAAGGAATATTATAATATAATTCCATTTATTATCAATCAAACTTACACTTATGAATCTCCCGTATATATAAAATTGAAATTCGAAATGATCGATTCACAGAATAAAAGTTTTTAAATTAATCGCACTCTCAGATCCTCGTCCAGTTCCAATACGATTTCAAACAATTAAAATCCATCGAAGATGATAGTATAACGTAAAAACTCTCTCTCTATCTCTCTCTCTCTCTTTTCGACCGTGGTTCTCGACGCGTTCGATTTTTCGTGGAAAGTTTTCTCACGAGCAGCGCGTCACGGCGACCCGATTGCACAATACGCGTGATATTGCAATTCGTATACGCGATTCGTCGCCATCGTGTTCGCCTTTCGTTATTTCCTACGAAACATATCTCGGAACGAATATATTGTCCTTCGTTTCTCAACTAAAAACGTCTCTTTCTACTACTTAACCGCGGTTGCAAACCCTCGTCGGTTTTGCGTTACATAAAGCGGGGCTGGTGGATGGGTGTCGGATACTTGTTAAGTATTCGCGGTGAACGGTGTTGCGCCGTTTATGTATATATATATATACTCACGCACGTTGCCCGTGAACCTAAATTGTTGAACGCCTTTTACCAGGATACTTGGATCGAGGATCCGAGGATCAATGATATTACGAGTTCTCTAACGTTCTATTCGATAATCGTCCGTTGAACCACGATTTCCGCACGGTAATGTTAATTGCATTTCAAACGGGAATAACTTTTTCAGACACTTGTTGCTTCCTATTCTAATTATGCACGATGCATTAAATCAGAAGAATTCTATTTCCTAGTTGGATAACATTGTGAAATTTCGTTTCGCGGACTTCCTTAAATTTTACACCTATTTTATGTAACCGATCCAGAGTCGCTAATCACTAGAAATCAGAGAGCGATCACGAAAATTTACGATTGCTCGCAGTCTATTTTTTTTTTTTGCCTATTCGTCGAAAATTGAGTCGTCAAGTTGTCGACTCGTTTTTCATATTTTTTTTTTCATCTGACGAATAGTTTGTTACTTATTATTGTTTTTATTATTATTAATATTATTATTTTCTTTTTCTCGCAAAGAGTTTCCCGCCAAATTGGTTTCGACGTGGGTCGAGCTCATCTTTTTCGCCGTGAAAGTCCGATGGAATTATTTTATAATTCCCGATTAAATCTCGTCGAGCCGTAGGAATCGAGACTTTTGAATCGCGGAAGGAAGGAATAGAAAGCAGCTAGGATAGTTGTTACTTAGAGAAGGATCGACAGAGTTCCGCGATACGGTTGTCTTGTAACCGGCCTATCATTTACATCTAAAACACAACTGGGATAAGGGGAATACTCTCGAGGAAGACAATAATTGGAAACTATATATAATTCACTTACATCAGGAACGAGATCCTCGCGTCCATCGTTGGAGGCTTCTTCCACGTTGATTCGAATCCCAGACATGTTCCGGGGTATCTTTCTCCTTTTTCTTCCCTTGCCTTTATTACTTCGTCAAATCACTCCAAGACAAATCTCGCGACACACCTCTCGAGAACCGAGGAAGACCGATCTCCTAGGTCTCTAGAGAGAAATCCGCACCTAGGAATTGCACTCTCCTTTCGTTCCCCTTCTATGATCACCACCGAATAACTTGGTGATTCCCCAATATATATATAAATATTCCACAAGAAACCGGGATCAACCCCCCAAAAGAAAGAAAGAATCTCCCTCTCGATACCGTGCTACGTGCCTCAACGATCAATCCCCAAGGAGGGGACCACCAGAGCCTAGGCAAGTCCCAGGGAGCGAGTCCTCGACGTCCTCGTCGAGTTCGTTGTCCTTTCTCTTTCTCTCTCTCTCTCCTTTTCGAAACACGAGAGCAGAAGCAACGTGTCTCTCCCTAACGGAGTACCTAAAGCTTCCTCCTCCTCCTCCTCCTCCTCCTCCTTCTCCTTCTCCTCCTCCTCTTCTCAGAGAGTCGAAAAATGATCGTGCGCACGAATTCACAGACGATGGGCTGTTAGGCGATCGCCGTGTTGAACCATGAAGAGACTATATATGTATATATATATATACACGCGTGTGTGTACGCGTTTGCGTGTATATTCGAGTTTCGATCCGCGGTTTCCCTACCGTTTCCTCGCGTTTCCTCGCGGGAGTACCGCACGC